TGAGAAAGAAAAACACACCGAGTTTGCCAATGATGTGTGGGTAATGGTAATCAGGCTGTTAAATTTGCAGCTCACTAGTGTTCTGAACCATTTTTTTCTAAAAACTAGGGATGCACCTGCTCTTCCCTGTTCTTTTTTTTTCTAGACAGGTGTAATTGTCTTGCCCTGCATGTTTGATTGACATATTTAGGACCTTTCATAGACATTGCAACCTCTGCAATACACGTGCAGAACATAACCTACCAGCAGAGCAGAAAGTCTCACCCTGTGCATGAGTGAATTCCAGCACAACTTTCAATGACAGTTCAGGAAGGGACCAGGGAGGTTACTTCTACTCACATCAGTCTGTAACTTCCCTCTCTGGTTCTTAGAAACTGTATTAAACTTTTGTTATCTCTTTAAATAACCTACTCTTTCTGTGTCTCATAAGCAGTGTCTATGGAAAGGGAAGGTAGCATGAGATTATTAGAATGGCCACTTTATCTTTGAACTTCATTTTCTGTTAAATGCAGCCCTTACTAAGGAACTACATTAAAAAAAAAAAAAAAAAAATATATATATATATAAAAAAATCTATTGTTAGGAGACCATGAAAAGATTTTCCTGTAAAGTTGAAAAGTAGACTTCGAGGTGGTCCTACACTTTGGTATGTCTATGTGGTACGAGAGCACAGTCAGTGCAGTGTAATGCTGTGCATAGTGCCTTCCTCTGCAGCAAACCCATTGTGCAGCAATGGAGTCCAGAGTGGCTGATTTTCCTATGAAGTACCACACCCTCCCCCACAAAAACTATATTCTATAATGTGTTTCATAGCCACCTTATGGCTGAGGCACCAGGACTGTTTGCTGGAAAATTCCATTTGAAAAAATTCCTCCTTTTCCTTCCCAGTGTGCCATGCCAGATGCATACTTTTCCTAGTATTATATCTTTAATAATACTAATTAGCAAATCTGATCCTTAACCTCCCACTGATCTCAGTCTTTTCCAATTAGGCTGATGACAGATCCAAGAATGTTTAATCTAAAATGAGGGGATTTGTAATTTGTCAGATTTCCAAGCCTATAGTTCCCATCCAGTTTCTAATCTATATGTTTTCCTGGGAGGCAAAAGAAAGGAAAATACAGATTTTCCTAGAAAGTGTTTCCACTTGAACTCACAGTTTTGCAATCATGTGCAGATGCAGTTTTATTTTACTCAAAAAAATAGTGTTATGGACCTCACTGAGCCTAAAAGTGGAAGCAGTTACTCTGATGTTACAAGTGCAACTGAGCCCTGTTTTCCCACACAGGTACTTTGTTTGATTGCAGGATTGAGCTTGTTGCTCACTTCTAAGTGTTTGACTTGTTGTGGCCTTTCAATCCTTGAAGGGAGCCTACAAGAAAGATGGGAACAAACTTTTTAGCAGGCCCTGTATTGACAGGACAAGGGGAAATGGTTTTAAACTAAAAGAGGGGAGATTTAGACTAGATATAAGAAAGACATTTTTTACACTGAGGGTGGTGAGACCCTGGCCCAGGTTGCCCAGAGAGGTGGTAGAAGCCCCATCCCTGGAAACATTCCAGGTCAGGCTGAATGGGGCTCTGAGCAGCCGGATCTGGTTGGAGATGTCCCTGCTCACTGCAGGGCAATTGGACTAGACGGCCTTTAGAGGTCCCAACCATCCTATGATTCTATGATTCTGTAAATCCTTCTCATGGTCCCTTCCAACCCAAACCATTCTATGATTCTGTGATTCTATGGGCTGAACATTTCCTCCTCCCAGCTCAGCATCACTCAAGAGAGTAGCGTCTTTACTGGATGGCTAAATGCTGGCCTCTTCTGCACTTGTCCAGATACTGGTTTGTTGAGGGGAAGGGGAAATGAGGGCTGCAGCCCACATCTTGGTACCACTGTTGGTGTTGCCAGCATCTCCTGGGCTCCCTGGGGAAGCAGCACTGCTTCGGGAAGTGAAGGAGCAGGCTCTTCTGGCAAAGATCTGCTGGTCTTTGCTCAGATTATGCACACCAAACAGAAGCAATGGAAGTGACTTAGGAAGTGACAGTGGGGCAGTTCATTTGGCTTAGACTTTTTGGGTGAAATCTCTTTTCCAAGTAGATGTCGTTGTTTTCATGTGGTTTGGTGGGTTTAAAAAAACCCCAAACAACAAACAATTATTTTTTTAATTTTACAAATGTTAAATACAGTCAAATCTCTTTTGCTATGTTATGCTGGCACTGGGAGGGAAGTAACCCAGGAAAGAGCCCCAAAACTCCTGCCCTACATAAATGTTTCTTATGAGTCTGTATCACTTGTGCGCTAAAAACAAGAACGCAAAAAGAGTGCTTGAAAAAAAATTGTGACTTGAATATCATTTATTTGATGTAAAGAGGGGAAAATAAAGAACAGTTTCAATAATAAGATAAATTAGTCCTATTAGCAAAGACTGCTTTATGAACAGTAATGGAAAAATCATGATATGCCTACTCTGACTGATATACATGTCAAATTACCAAATAACTCTTATTTTGCATGAGGTGATGGGAAGAATGAATTCTCTGGATAGCATAAAATAAAGAATTAATTCTGAATGATGTGCAAAGTCTTTCTAATGGCTGAGATGTGGCCTTCATCTTTTGTTGTTTTTCTGCTTCTCTTTATGGTGCTGCCATAATGTCTGCGTTGCTCAGCAACAGCAAGCTGAAATAGCTGCAGTCGGAGAAAATGTGCTGATTTACACTGGTCAAAAAGTGTGTACTCCTACTTGAGTGTGGATTTTGACATGAGAGTTAAAGGTAGCCTTTGTAGGATTACCTCTCTGGGGTGTGCTTGATCCTGGGTGGGGACATGTCAGTTCAGACACCAAAAAATATCCATTTCCATCACAGTTCGACAAATGGAGAGGTGAATCCTCTGGACAGAACATAACCTCATCTAAACCCAGACTGGGGTCCAGCGTTTCCCCTAGGAATGAGTCCTTGTCTGGTCTTGAGGAGGTTTCCAGCCCAACTGTAGGTCTGCAGGCACCACACAGTACCTTCAGCTCATCGTACCTCCTGTATAGAAGCAGACTTTGCCCTTACACATTTAATGTTATTAATACAGCAAAATACCATAAGTACAAAGAGCAGAAGCTAGAAGTTTCCTAAATATCCCCCATACACTGATTTCATAATTTTGTTTTCCAGCACCTTCTAGACTAGACTATGTATTTAAGTGATAACCTGTCTTTGGAAGAGCTTAGTGATGATAAATAAAGGAAAGCTTATGTCAAACTCAAAAAAGTAGGAATATATGTTTTAAAAATCAGCTCCACGCAATATTATGAAGATATTTACCAAGTAAAACACAGCAAATGGTATATTTTACAAGCAATCTCTGAAGTGTCAGTCATACAGAAATACTGTCAAACATCTGAAAACCTAACATTTCACCAGAAAATACTGCTGGCAGTTCATCCTAAATATTTTTCACTCAGATCTTTTGGTGATTGTTAAAAGACATGGTTTTTGTCCCAACCTCAAAAATCAACAGTAGCACTATTCACAGGCTAATTTTTATTTCCTCTGCCACAAGAGGAACAGGTTTTGATCTACTTTCCTAGGAACAGCAACCTGATCTAGTGGAAGGTGTCCCTGCTCATGGCAGGGGTGTTGGACTAGATGACCTTTAAAGGTCCCTTCCAACCCAAACCATTTTACGACATTACTGGATGTAGGGTAATGCCAATGAAGGACCTGAGCATATGGAGTATTTGTGGTGAAGATGTCAGCTTCATCATGAGATGAAGTATCTCGATGAGCCAGGAAGAAAGGTTGCTGAGTTAACAACCTGTTGAGTGCAAGGTCAACTTCTTCCTTACCTACCTGCAGACCCTGGAGCCTGTGCCATGGTGGTACAAGGCTACTCTGCTGCAGAGCTCTGCTATGTCCACCAGTCTCACAACCATCCCCTTCCCATCACAGGGCAGAGAGACAGGGCAGAGCAGCAGCTTTATAGCAGCAGCCTCGGACAGTGCAGCATTTAGCTGCTTGATACTTGTGGGCTGAGGGGGACGGTGTAGGGAGAGAGGTCAAGAAGATCAGCTCAAATTAATTCTACTTGTGCACAGTCTAAGCAGAGTCATTTTACTGCATAGAAAAGGGATAGCAATGACTTTGCTGCTGTCCTCTCCTTTGCTAAGCCATGACCAAGTTCAAGTGTTAAGAAAAATCATTAATGTAAAATCATTATACTTCTTACTTTTTTTTTTTTTTTTTTTTTGCTAGAAAAAGATTTTTTTTACTGGCATTTGCTTCCTTGGCCTTAGGTTTGTAGACTTTTCTCTGCAACTGGGTAGGCCTGAAACTTTTTTTCCATGAAAAGTTAGGTAGCCTAGTGCAAACTAAAGCATCCAACACCTGGGGTTGTTAGACCCCCTCCTCCTTGACGTTATTGTGATTTTTACCCCAAGTGTTGCGAGCATTAGCAACGCTGCCTGCAATTTATCTGTGTCCCTCTTGTGTGTGATGATTGCTAATGCACATCTCTCTCCACCAGACTTGAGAGATCCTCCAGGTAGAATTCTTTACCACCTATTTTCTATTTAGCAAAGAGTACTCTTTATTCCACTTCTCTGCTACTATGAAGCTCTCTAAGATGTACCCTATTGCTGTTGTAAGCTGGTTTTAGCCATTAATTAGGAGTCCTGTCACAGGCTGAGAGATGCTCTGCTCTTTGTTGCTTTATGTCTAGTGACTGTGGCTTGGATTTCACAAACAGATTTTTCTTTTTAACTTCTAAGTCAAATCCCCACTGCTTAAAATTCAAGTGTCTTTTCAGGCATATTTTCATGCTTTTAAATAATTACAGATTGGTCTTGGGAAAAGGCCTTCCAGCAGAGCACAGTCCTATGTAATAAGATAAAGCAAATGAATGTGGCAGAAAAAGTCTCTCCACTCAGAAGGTGGCAATTTTTTTTTGCCTTTTGACTTTGTAGCGCACAAATCATGGGTTTTTTCGGGAAACATCTTGCGTTGTCGCCTTAAAATCTGTGAAGTATCTTTCTTCTTGGGTCTTTATACCTCACAGCAAGACCTCTGATGTTTTTTCATCTTCAGGTAATAAGCTCGGTTGGCTTCTGGATAGGTGACTTTGGAGAGTGGCAGCTTGTAGATGGCAGAGTTGTTTGTGGTTATTAACAGGAAGGTCAGTGCAGACAGGCAAAAAGACCAGGTTCCTGATGGCACCCCAAACTGCAAAGAAAAATACAAACCACCTATTAAATGTGTCTTTCTTTCATCTGATCTAGCAGCCTTGAACAAAACTCAGAATGAGGCAGCTTGGAACAAGCTTTCTCAAGGATGTCTTGACTTGATTTTGCATGGAGTATCTGCCTGGGGAGTCAGGATTTCTTTATGAGATCTTGACATTGTACATTAACCTGCAACATCTACCAGCTCTGGTGGAAGGCTACCTTCTCTTTGTGCATCTGCAGTGGTCTTGGATAGAGATGAGATAGGAGTGGATGGGGATGAGACAGGAGTAGATACCAGGAGCATTCAGCTTTTCCCTGGGCTGTTGTTCTGACTGCCTTTTGGCACTTGGGCAAAGCAATTAAACCCAATTTGAGGTTTCTTTACACTTGCAGAGGGCCCTTTTCTCAATCACTTCAGGCATAAAATATAGACATATAATTATCTCAGAGATGTTGAGGGCTGTGCTATGGAAGTTCACACAAGCTCCAAGGATGAAGAGTGTTGATGATTGTTTCAGTGGGAACCACACCAACCTCCTGGGCAAACTGTGTCCTCTTTCCCAGAGCAGTTCTGCCTTTGGATGAATTGTTCTCTGGGTCTTGATGTTTTGCCTCACAAGCTATGAAAATATATAGTGTTCCAATCTGCCTTTGAAAAAAAGACCTTAGCTAGTACACTACTTACCACAGACAACAAGTTAGTCACTGTTGCTCCCAGGTAGGCACTGAAGAGTGCTATGAAAAAGAAAGGTAGTTTCTGGTGAGTTCAGTAGCTCATGGAGGAGACCAGAAAAGACAAACATCTCTCACATTGCCTTGGGTAGCTCAATCAATGTTTATGACCATGCCTGGACAGTCCCTTCTTAAAGCTCTTTCCTTTACCCTGTGTCCCCTCCAACCTGGAGCTCATGCGAAAGGCAAAGCACAAAAAGAACTAGAATGATGAAAAATGTGACTATGGAAACAGAGACTTTTGAAAAATGCACTAACGTGGAAAGTATGTAGCTTGATGGATGGGGTTAAATAAGAAAATAACCCTTCCACCCCATCTCTCCTGCCTCTAGGGCTAGAAGGTGGGTCAATGAAATACAAAGCTAAATCATTTTTATATGAGCACGGAATGAGCAATAGTTTCACTCCCAGCTCACTGTAATATTGAAATTCATATAGAATTGCCTTATAAATAATTCTTCAATCATTCTGTGTTGCCCAGCTCAAGCCTTTGGTATCCATTACAATAGACTGGGGACAATGTACTGTCTAACTACAGTTACAGACTGATCTTGAGCTCCAGTTTTCTCAAAGTTTAGATATGTCCTTCTCCAAAGAAGGAATTTGAGCTATTATTTATGATTGGAAAAAAAAATATGATTCATCCAGCAATGTTGAACAAACACAATTAATGCCTCAAAAATAAGCATGTAATTTCAAATACCTTAGTTAATCGATGTCCACTGATTGCATGTCATTTTGAACACAACTCTTGGCTGAAAGTGAAAGTGCTGCTTGTATTTTGACAGAGTATGTTAGAGCAATGGCTCCAACATACAGCTCAGTCATTCTTCCATCTTACCTAAGACCATATTCTCGTCTAGAGGTAGCCATCTGGCTTCAGACCCTCCTCTAGTATAAATGCATCTTGTCTCACTTCAAAAGGAAACATGGCAGTAGTGAAAATCCGTAGGGTACATACCACAGGCAATTGCCAGAAAATGTGTCTGCCAGGTGAAAGCGTAGAACATGCCTCCGATTGCAATACATGAGAGGGAGCTGTTGTAGCCCCACAAGCCGGAGTAGATTTTGCTAAAAGGTGTTGCTAAGCTCAGTGCTGGAAAATAAATCAAAGATATGTCATTCCATGGCCAAAAAGATAAAAGCAGCTGAAAAATGGCATGAATACAGCTTTTTAAGGACTCTAGCCCATATACATATATGGAGTTCTTATTTGTGGTTGTGTTGCTACGATCTAAGACTAAAGCCACTTTAATGGCTTTCATTTAATCTAATGTAATCACGACAGAATTTCCCTGATGCTGCTGAGCTGAATTTATCCATGCAATTTCAACAGAAGATATATGAGTGAACAAGCATGTGTGTGAACCTTAAATGCATCCCTGAGGCCTGCATATTCAGCCTGATGACTATGACTGTTATTAAGCTGCTCCTAAACCCGTCACAATATATCCAGAAATGAAGTATTTAATGACAAAAATTCTTTTAAGTCAAAAAGACACTTCTTACTTTTGAAGATTTTCATCATCATAAAATGAGGTAAGAGAATGGAAAAGTCAATCAAAAGAATTCTTAAAACAGAAGTGTATATATACATTTTTTTTTCAAGCACTCATTCTCCAATGGAAGAAACATTTGTGACTGTAAGTACTCCACTCATTGTGGTTCCTCTTTTATTCTCCATGCTTTTATATAAATCTGTGACACAAATCAAATCCTTACCTGCCAGCATCCCCACTGCTGATCCAATCGCTGCATGCAGACAAATGAGTGGAGAAGAGATAAATAAAGCAATCAGGAAAATTCCCCCAGTCCAGGGGTTATCGCAGCCATAAACCTGACCCACCCCAACTGGAATGGATTGCAGGAGCTGCAGAAATTTTTAAAAAAAAAAAAAGAAGACAATTTGTTATCAGCTGTGTAATTTCTTTCTTTCTTTCTTTCTTTTTTTTTATTTTTAAATCCTATTTTTCTTGGGCAAGTTCATTTTCAGCATTTGTTGGATGCAGTTTCTTCTTCTGGACTGTAAGTGGAAAATGTGGACACTCCTCAGGAGACAGCAGGGCATTTCCACAGGGTTTCCCCTTCAATGAAAATGAGTCATGCCTTGTTCCTTAGCCATGTGCTCCTCTGCCAGGTTTATACTCTAATGTTAAAGGTTAAATATCTTTTGTGAAAACGTTTGCTCATTGTCTTTAGAGCTGCTGCTGACTTGGCTATTATGGACCATGACAGTGAATTTAGGAAATGGAAGTGCTCAGGTAGATGATACCTTTGAGAAGATGTTTGCTTCAGGTTGGGCAGATACAAAAGTGAAATGGCCAATAATGGCTTGGCCAGAATTACAGGACTTCACGCAAGTAAGGCTGTATCCCTGATCTACTTATATACCTTAAACTTGCTTGGGATTCACTGGGAATATGAAAGAGAGTTTCTGGTTTTATGGGAAAGTCCAACTCGACCACAGCTTAGAGTTGGTTTTGAGACACTTTTCCTCAAAATATTGTGTTCTTCAATGTGGAACAGTCCATTTATGGTTCCCATAAAATTATGTACTACGATAAACATTCTTTGAGAAATGTCACTTGTGTGGATTGCTATTTAGTGTCAATTAACTTCCTTTTCTTAATTACTCCCTGAGAACCCCTCAAAATAGTATGCTGAGCCTTAGGGAAAAGCTATTACAGTGCTATGTAGGAGAATAAAATGTTTGTTTGGAAAGGTCCCACTTGAATATCAACTAAAAATGTGTGAACATGTGCCTGCACCCAAGTTTGTAACCATTCTTCCACAGTAATATCTGCTTGCTCATTTCTCATCAGAAAGATGCAATTTTAAAAACACAGCACATTGAAAACTAAAATTAAAATGGGGTGCTGATCAGTTTATGCACAGTAGGGGATAATTAGATTCTAGACTCTCTTTGAAGATCATAACATATACATTTAGATCCCACTCCAAATAAAAGATAACAAGAAGATTCTTATTTTCAAGCTATCAAAAATGTCAGTTCCTTGAGTAAACCTTTAAGTTTTGGGTGATAGCCATAATGCAGTAACATAAAGGAAGACAGTATGATTCTATAGTGGTTTTCTTTATAAATGGAGAAGGTTGTTCTACTTAAAACTTCCTACCATTGGCATTTCAGCATCTGTCCAGGTGATGTTTGGTGTTGCTGTTGCAGGATGAATAACAGTTGTAGGGAAGAAGAGGTTATGTGGTCCTGATGCAGCCAGATAGAGGGTCAAGGCCATGTTGAAAGGCAAGGTGAAAACAGGCAGATCCCACTTACAGAGGACTGAGCCTAAAGCACTGGTGAAAACAGGGCTGAAAGAAGAACAAAATGGTCTCACTAGGAGCTTGTCAGCTAGGAAAAAAAACCAACCAAACAAAAAACCAAACCCAAAAACCTACAGGAAATTAATTAAGCTGTTTAATTTCCTCAGTCTTTCTGATAAAATTAGAGCTATGCTAGGCTGACTTGGTAAATTTCCTACCCTTCACCATGCAGTTAGCAATGTACAGATTCCTGTCATGTTGTGCAATATGGTATGTGGTGAATTTGGTGACCATGAAAGAGATAAGATCCTCCACTGGTGTGATTTAATGGAGTTATTCCCCAGCTCAGTCTCAGTGTTTACCTTTTTTTTTTCATACTTGTAGCCTGAATCTAGGACATCCGTGACAAGTCTGAGTGAGCTGTGAAGGTGGCTGTGTGTCCTTGTTCAAGCTTATGGATCAGAAGTAAAGGCTAACATCAAAGCTGTGCTTAGTAAAGTGAGCACAACACTACATGAAATTCAGGCAGACAGATGATGTGTGTGGTTTTATCAATCACCAACCAGATATTTGGGGACCAAAGACCAGATTTCAAAATTTTTGCTGTCCAAATAACTAGCAGATTATGGTGCATGTATATGAGTAAAATATTATTAGTTATTTGTTTTCATTAGCAACAACCATCCTGTCTTGGGACCACTGAACAGCTTCTATGCCTGGAAAAGTAAATTTTCATGACATTTTTATATGGTGGCTTAAATAGATGAAACACTTGTGGTTGATGGTGATAGGGAGTGTTGAAAATAATGTTCCTCTTGGAAAAAAAATGAATTGACTCATCACAGCAATATGGCAAACATTTTGGGCACTGAATTACACATGATCAGCCATCAATTTTCCTTTTCCCTACTGGGTTTATTTTGATTATGTGGGTATTTTATTTGTTTCTGAATTACATTAAACATTTAAAAATGCAAAAAATGGTACAGATTTAATAGTACATGTGTGCCAATTGTGTTTCATTTCCATTGCAGTTTGCATAGCGCATAAAAATATAACAGTCTCAGCGTGAGGACACTGGGGTTGGAATAAGAAGCAGAGGAGCCATCCGACTTACCACGTCATGGACACCAGTGCTACTGGCAGTAGAAACCACCAGTGGTAGTTTCCCTCAGCAGAGAAGACGGCCATGAGCAATCCCACCAAGACCCCGTTATAGCCATGCAGGCCTGCTGCTATGGCTGATCTGTGTGAAGGAAACAACTATCTTGAAATCTTCTCCCCTGTGGAAGCTTTGCTCACATTATCCCCTCCCTCCCCATGCAGTTGTGACTTTGTGTGATGATGACCTGCCACCAAACTTCAGTTTCACATACTTGAGTGGCATGTCTTCTCAGCAATTATCCCTTTTGCAGTTATGTCCTGTGTTCTTTTGCACCAGATGCAGCTGGTAGGAAGATCTGTCTTGTCATAACAGACCAGATATGTAGCTGTTGTTGTTTAATCTGGCCAGCAGCCAAACACCACACAGCTGCTTGCTCACTCCCCCCCACCCCAGTCAACAGGGGAGAAAAGTGGAGGGGTAAAGGTAAGAAGACTAATGGTTGAGATTAAAATAATTTAATAAGTGAAATAAAACAAAATTAAAATAATAATTATAATAATAAAGATAATAATAGTAATAATGGAATATACAAATGAGTGATGCACTGCAATTGCTCACCACTCACCAGCAATGCTTTGCACATTCCCAGTTAAAAATCTTGGAGGAGATAAAATCCCAAAACCACAATCCTGAAAGAGAAAGACAGCTATCCTGGCCAACCCTCACTATATACTGAATATAATGTTGTATGATATGGAATGTCCCACTGGCCAATTTGGGTCCCTTGCTCTTGCTATGCTCCTACCCAGCTTGTACAAGTTTTTCTTGCACATCAGCAGACTAGCATAATGTGGGAAGTTGGAAAGTCCTTGATTTCTTAAGAACAGATGAAAACTTAAGTATGTTATCAACAGTCTTTTCATACCTAATCCCATACTAATTCTAAAACACAGTGCTCTTCCAGTGACTAAGAAGAAAATTAGCTCTATCCCCGCCAAAGCCAGGACAATAGACACTGAAGGCTACGTACATGCATTTCATCCACGTTGCTTGTTTAAGACATAAGTTAGCACTGAAGTGACAGTCTGGTTTTGAAGGAGAAAAGGATGGACTTACCTGTCCTGACCCAGAATAAGTGCTGTTAAAGTTGAGACAACTGTTCCTAAACAGCCTGTGAGTGTCCACCATGGGTTCTGCACCAGGAAACCAGCAACTATGATAAGTCCACTGAGGGGATTGTTGACAAACATGACTTGGGATATCCCCCGCAGCACCCAGTCAATAAACTGGATCATGAGAGGTTTATCTGGAAGAGATCAAATTAAATTAAAAAAAACTTCCTCCAAAATATGTAGATGATACTGATTCAGAACGGTTTTTTGAAACTCAGGAAGAGTTTTGGCAGTGGAACTTGGCAGCATGACTGAAGCAATGAATCAACAAGACTGTAAAACCTGACTGAGATTTATTGTAGACTACACTGAAGTCTTGCAGCTGGAAAGTCGAGATGAACAGTGTGGTTTGCCAGAATCCCATGTTATAAAATACCCTGGACTGGGTTCATATGAACCAGCTAATTTATGATGTCCGTGCATCAGATGGCAAATCATATGTGTATCCCATTGCTGATTTATTCTGGGCACCAAACACACCCACCTATGTGTAATTTAACTTCATAGTGGCATTAGGCTTGACAGAAACCGCTCAGCTGAAAGGACAGGGATTGTTATGAAGAATGGCAAAGCACAAAATAACCATCTTGGTCTATGTTCTGTGGGACTAAATTAACTTTGTACTTGGCATGTTGGGAGGTAAATGTCATCTCAGTCATCCTCAAGATTTAAGCAGTGTGTGGATCTCTACACAAAGCTGATTTTTTTTCCTTGCAAAACTGAAATAAATCAGGGCAGAGGCAGTTTCTGTACTCCTCTAACTTGAATTGCATTACTGAGAAGTTAGTTATTACTCCTTTGATGTAGTTCTTCTTTGGAATTCCCTAATTAGTCATGATGAAGTAGCTTTACCTCTTAGCCAGGCTCCAAATTCCTTCATGTCTCCAGTGATGTACCCAACAGCTCTGCAGATTCTCTTCCCAGCTTTGCTCAGTGGGTTCTGCTTTACTGGTTTTCTTTCCCCCTTGGTTTCTATCTTGATGTCAACACTGTTTTCCATGTTGATGTTCGGAACCTTTGGTAAAATTCAAGGGGAAAAAAAAAGACAATTCATTACAATGCCTCTTACTGATCCCTGTTTATTCTCTCTACCATACATTATTGCTCGCCACATGTTCTTTTGGAGCCAGAAAGAGGAAAATCCTTATTCTGAACAAATGATTCTCATGTCTTTGTGACATCTTCATGTGCTCTTGGGCTGCTGTGCTGTCCTTGCAGTCTTTCATGTAGTCATAAGTTGGAACACCACAAAGAACCACTGAGCCTTGTGTATTTTACCTGGTTTTAACACCTTGCTCAGTTATACCATGTTTTCTAGAAATCAAGCAGCTCTTGATTTAAAGGGTGGCTTCAAGAAGAGCAAGATGGCATTAGAGGACACTGGCCTCACAGAAGTTGAAGTTTACCTCAAGATTCAACTTGATAGAGATTCACCACATCTAGGAAACTGCTTCAATGATTAAGTTTCCTCTGCTCCTTAACACATATTTCTATTTAAATTTTTTCCATCAGCCATCAAAAACAGGTACTTAAATTTAGGTTTATAGGTCTCTGTACCATCACCTATTGGGATCAGTTCAACCTTTTTCATAAGCATGGACTTAGCTTGAAGGTTGCTCATGATGCCCTACTCCATTACTCACATGCATGCATACATTATTTTTTTTTATCTCTGTTGAATTGTACTTTTAGCTGCTCCATCTTTAGAAATGCCTTGCACTGATTTAAGAGATTAAAGGCCAAATTCAGAGTGCTTGCTTTCCATTTTGCCTTAGTCACGTTGCTTTCTTCTTTCTGACAGCTGCCCAGTAGGGTATTAGGGCCTACACTGGCCATTGTTCTTCAACATGAGACAAGATAAGTGACCATATCTTTGAACCTGTAGTAGGAAACCCTCAGGGCTTAAGGAAAAGACTCTTATTAAATTTAGCAGTCACTATATCAAGACTTAAATAAGTTAGGGGAGAATTATAGGCCAAACAAGGATGTTTAAGCCTAAATAAGTTGTTTGGGGCGTCCACACAGGGCTGGCAGAGATGGGGTCCCCTATGGGAGACATGGTCTTTGGATTAGGAACTGCTGGAATACCCTTTGACACCTCATAAAGCTCTGGACAGCTTCATTCAGGCACATGGATCAGAGACTTACACCTAATGTAAACACTGGATTTAAAAAAAAGAAAAAAAAGCTCTATAGCCAATTTGTTATTTTTTTAAGGGTCAATTTGCAATATGTAGTCAACAAATTAAAACCAACCAAACCTTTCCCTGGTCCTGGAGAAGAATAGGACTAATTCTTGGTAAGTGTCAAGACAAAGAAAACACGAGACAAGGTACATTGTTGAATGTTGAACCTGGTCTAGTGGAAGGGGTTCCTGGCAGGGGGGTTGGAACTGCATGATCTTTAAGGTCCCTTCCAACCCAAAACATTCTGAGATTCTATGAATACAGAAACTGAGCTGCTTCAGGTATCACTGGTGACTAGCAGATTTAGGAAGAAGTCAAGAATTTAGGTTGGGAGTTAATAGTCTAAATAGGGTGATACAAACACATATGTATTGCAGTTAGTCCTTGACTTATTTGCAACTTCAGTAAAAACCTTCTTGGCAGCTGGGGAAGAGAATTTATACTTCAGAACTACAGTTGCTGGTTACTTAAGCTAAAGCAACCTCACCCCTGGGCATTACACTTCCAGACCCAGACACATGGTTAAGCAGCTCTGCGTCTGTATAGGGGGATGGCTGGTTAATGTACATCCTGGCCAGTTTCGTACTATATGTTATTGGAAGGCTGATGGTGACATTTCAGGAAGCAGTAAATATTTGCCCAAATAATAAACAGGCATATTCTGCCTTCTGGAAGGACCCTGCTAGTGCAAGGATAGGTTCCACATGAAAAAATGCTGAAGACAGGACCAGTGTATAGAAGAGCGTTGAATCTGACTTTGTGTAGGACACAAAGACAAAGAGTTTAACCAGAGGAGGAAGAAAAGGATAAGAGTGTTGATAGTGATAGTGTCTCAGTGCTGGAAGGCTTTTTCCTGGCTCAGTTATAATTCATTACCTTGATTCATTAACCTTCACTTTTCTCATATTTTATTCTGAAATAATAGAATACGTGAATTGGATGCACTTTCAGTTAAATCAAAATTTCCAGCCAAGATAAATGCTCTTCATTTGGTGAAAGTGCATTTACATTTTCAATTTAAAGAAATCTTCCTCCTTATGTAACTTAGGCTTTCCCTGTTGCTAATCCATAAAGTCAAGGGCTGTTGCATTTGCATTTCATTTGCAGAGTGCAGTTGTGTGTCCCATGCTAGCATGCCCAATATGTTTCCCTGCATGCTGAGTGAGGAGCTGTTTGCGCCCCAGAAGTTTGGAGATGTTCTGCAGCGGGGGATGTAAGGTGCACGTGAAGTATTAGAGTCACTTTGCAGCCCACTCACATGTTGGAAAAGAAAACAGGTCAAGTTGGAAGCCCTAATCCATCAAAACTTTGAGTTACTTTGCCATAGGAATGCACTGAAGTGCATACTTCCCAATGCAGCAATGTGAATTCAGGGCTGAATCAGTACCAGAATGAACAGGAAAGGACTCTCCTTGTGGTGAGAACCTGAGTGGAGTTTTGTTTCTTTCTTATGCAAGGTAATTTTTACCCTGGGATACTTAATAATTATATACTGTAACTCACTGTGAGCTGTGAAGCCTTTTATCTGCTGTTGAGGCTGTTTGTCAGTGCATGGGCTGTGCTGCTGGTGTGGCAGCTGTGTAAGGCAGCTCTGCACTGTGCACATATGAGACTGGAGAACTCCTTTGCTTTGGGTTTCCATGGGCAGATATGAAGTCAGTTCGATACACTTGGCACAGCAAAAAATTCAGGTGAGTCACTTCCACCAGCCTGGCTTGAACTTCACCCCCGATTAAGGTTGCATCAATAGTCTGCATACCTGTTCTTCCAGAATATTCAATATCACAGTGATTGGGGGGTGATCATGGGTACCTTCCAGTCACAGCACTGATCAAATTCACCTTTATTATGTCCCTATTTATCAAATGATGTGTCTCTCTGGAGAGGGTTCACATGAACTTTGTTTCATCTTTCCTATTAGCTTATATATGCTAAAGGAGAAGGAAATAATTATTGAACACCTTCATCACCTGCAGAGCAGTCTGGTATGTGATGGGTAGGCTAAGAGCAACCTTGGTTTCAAGTGGGGACTTCAAAACTCTATGAAGACGCAGATTCAGCCCCATTGGCTTCACTGCCACCCCAACTCACATGCCAGCACCGCGTGAGGGCTGCCTCCTGTGATACTTTTTTTATCTGCCACCACAGCTGTGAGGCTTGTCCCGTCTCTCCAGAAATGCAGAACACAGAGGACTTGCACTACTCCTACTTAGTTGTCCAAAGAAAGTATAAAGAAGAAGCGAATCACTGGGAAACCAGCACCAGCATAAAATTTTTTGGGCATTTTTAGTCATTTTTGACATTATGATAAGCAGTAGCTGCCATACATGCTCAGATTAACAATCTGCTAAAATATTACCTTGTTTTAGGGAATAAACCATAGCAGCTATTTAAGAAAAGACAGAAGACAAATAGTGTTTCATCTCAGAATAATGGAGAGATGCTCAGATAATTTTAAGATGACGTTTGAATTTTAATTCAATCTGAATTATGTGTGTTCTGAATGGGATTGCATGAAGGCCAGTCTAAAACAGGTCTTTTGAAGACCTGCTATTGAAGTTATGTTAACATGCCGTTTTCAGTCAAAGTGAGCTTTTTTTCCTTAGTGCATGAAGGAGGGAAATTGAAATAATTGTGAAAGGACTATTCTTCTGGAACAGTTTGCTTGGCTTCTGCAGGGGGGCAGGATTTTTTAAAAAAAATTTTTATTCTTTATTTCTATTCATCTGGGAAAAAGTATTTTGATCTCAGTTTCTGATCTAAAGACTATGTAAGTCCTCTTCTCAGGCACACAGCTTGAAGTGACCTCATGCATGCTCTGGAGATGTCTTCCAGACAAGCATTTGGTAGGAAATGCAGTGTGGGCTCCTGATGCTGGTGTGTAACTGGTGTGATACAGGAGCAGCAGCAGGACCCACACAGAGTGAGGCTGAATGTGATTTTCATCCCTGTGATGCAGGGACTGATTTGTGCTCTGCTGCAAGTGCAGAGGAATGATTTAAATCTATTTTCCCATGGTGTACCATGGAAAGTGAGAGCTAGATTTGGGACACTGCTGTTTTTCCCCAGTGATTCCAGATGTTTGTTCCCTCCCCTTGCTTAGATATGTTTGTGCTGTTGAATAATATCTCTATGCTGCCCTGGCTAAGAATGCTCATATAAGCAAGAAGTTAAATTTTGCAGCTAAAAGTATCTAAATACTTTTACATCAGCTATGAAATGGAACCTGTGAGAACAGAAAGGGAAAAAAAAATGTTTCTCTTGCATGAAAATGAAATCATCACAGGGCCAAGAAGCTAATCTATTGTTTTTTTAATCATCTTTTCAGAGTTAATAAATGTCCTGTAGCAAAGTACAGATGTTATGCAACTTCATGTCTCCCTAAATCAATTTCTCTTCCACTTGTGTACACTTCTTCCACCTCACGCCATACCTACGGCATCTCAGCAATGCCTTGTTAAAGCTGCAACCTAGCAGACTCCGTGCTGGTGCTGCACTTCTGCAACATCTGGCCTGCAAATACTTTTTTTATACACAAATAATACTTTTTTTATACACAAATACTTTTTTATACACATGCTGAAATGGAGACAAGCCTGGTCACACGTTCATTATGTGTTACGCGTGGTACGAGTGGTTCTGTGCTTGCAGAGGCTTTTACTTGGCTAATTGTTTTAATATTCCCAGGTAACAGTTATTTCCAAGCTGGTGCCTGTGTTACTAGGTATTGGACTTTTCTACCTGAAAATGCAGCAAAATTATCTAGTACTTTCTCTTCTTTCTAGAATTTTCCTCTCTCCCTGACAAAATTCAG